TAGGGATGATTAAGATAACCTAAAAGGATCAGTTCAAGGTTAAACGAAAAAAATTGAAAAAATTTGTTAGAAAGTCTGTAAATTGTGTATAATTAGATTAAATCTTGCTCAGTCTCATACTTTCCATAGTATACCTTCTCTATTTTGGCAAATTTAGACTTACACAAGAGAATTATCAGTGAAGAACCTGGTTCATCAAGATAACACGGTATGTTTTCTACACTCTACATAATTTGAAATAACTATATTTAGATCATGAGCAGAGTCCTACAAAATACCAACGTTCTTGTGAACTTATCATTACAACTGAACTAGTTACGTTCAAGACTCCTGACCGTATTAAACTACCTAGATTCTTTTAAGTCAGCTACTCAGGGGAAGAAAGAGATTCTTCCGAAATTGAGTAGGTATCTTCTGATTCTAAAGTTTCTCCTAAGATAATTTCTAAAGTTACTGCAAATTTGGAAAATAGATTTGTAGGATCTATAGCAGGTGTTGAGACTACAGATTCTGGAGAAGTTGGTGGTAAAAATGAAAAAGGAAAAAAAAAGAGCAAGGGTGCTAGGAGTACTATGAGGGGAAAGGGGACAAGTGTGGTTGATTCTTCGCCCACTCATGTTAGTTTAACCAAAGACGCATGTGCAATGGTTGTTTAGGGAGATGAACCTAGTTCATCTGTAGAGGAAACCCTCACAGACCTGCAGAAGAAATTGACTGAAAGCTATAATCCAGCTTCTTGATAGAGTTATTAATGGCACCAAAACTTATACCATTCCCTATGGCTTCATTCTCACAACTGTGCTTGCACATTTCAATATACCTCTGAAAAAGTGAGAGGTTAATACAAGTATGGATCATTTTTGGGTTAATACTCTGCTTGCTTGTGATTATGAAGTCAATGTCACTCCTAAAGAACCTAGTTCATCCAAAAGGTACCAGTGAATAGTAAGGTCAAAGCCTTGGTGCAAGAAAGTGGGGCTAAGGATGCTGAGATTGAAAGGCTGAAGAAGAGGTTGGTTGAGGTGGAGACTAAGAGAGATGCTCTCAGAACTGAGCTGACAAGAGAAAAATAGAAGAATGATGGCATTCTTCAAGGTATGCTGAAACTCCTCCAAGTCAAAAACCAAACACCTAGTTCTTCCCAGCCTTAAGCCTCCTAGCCTAGTGTAGATTAACCAGTGACCCAGTTCGGGATTTTTTGCTTCTTTTACTTATGTTTTTAGTATTTTTATTTCTTCTTATGTTTTGTCGTAGAATCTTATCTATCATCAATAAAATTCATTGTCTTTTGCTCTAACTGTTTGTTTATATTTCTTTGATGTTTAAAATTATTAGTTTGATCTATGATGATTAATTCATGATTGCATTTGAAGTAGCCCCACTGGCCATGAGTAAGTTTTAAAATCTAGTTATCTCACATTTTATGCAAATTTTCGATGATGCCAAAAGGGGGAAAAAAGGTTGTGCTTTACACTTTTAACAGTGATGTTTATAACCTAATGTACCTGGTCTTTGATGATAAGTGAAAAAGTTCTAACTTTGCATTGATGTTGAGCTGATTTCTGGCAGGGCCTAAGTGTATTGAAAGCACAAAGTTTGTCATCATCAAAAAGGGAGAATTTGTTGGTCCAAGTAAAGGTTAAGTTTTGAAGATTGACAAAGGAACTCAGACATGAACCAGGTTCATCCCTCAAGTGCACAAAAGCGGGCAGATTCGAGCATGCAGGTTGCACGTGAAGGAGATAAGCTTAACTTGGTGTACTTAATATCTCATGATCGAAAAGGTTGCATAATTAATAAGGAGAAGGACTCCTTAATCAAAGAGAATACTATCCAAGATAGGGAAGGAGTTAGAAGTTGAAATCAACTAGAACTCTTCCACCAAGGAAGAGTTGCATCAGAATCAGAACTCTAGTTATTTCTTCATCTACTAACTCTATAAATTGCAGGATGTTCTCACATTACATGAGTTGCACATAAGCAGAAGTTTAACGTGAATTGAGAGCAAAATAGCAAGGCAATTTTGCAAGCAATTTATGTGTGATTCAAGCGTGCAATCCTGAAGCTACTTGAATCAGATAGAAGAACCAGTTCCAAGTGTCTATCTTTTATTCTAGTTCAATTGTAGTAGGTGATTTTATATTATACCTTTTAGCTTTTATAGAAGCAATTGTATTAGGTACCTAGAGTTTTCAAGTTAGAGTTAACTTGAAGTTGTCGCAACAGTTGAGGTTGTGTGCCACAACGGGATTAGAGTTAATCCTAGGTTTACAAAAGAGTTTTTGTAAATGCAGTTTTTGGCTCAGTGATTTTAGTGGAGAGTTTGGGAAAATCCTACTAGAAGGTAGGTCGTGGTTTTTCACCTTTTGAGCCAGGTGTTTTTCACGTAAAATCTTTGTGTTCTTTATTTTCTGTACTTATCATTCCGCAACAGTAGTAGTTGGAACACATAGAAGAATCAGGTCCTTCTATAATCAAGTTAAAAGAAAATTGGGTACCACACAAATCACCCCCTCTTGTGTGGTATTGAAGTCTAAAACATCACTTTAATTATAAGATTGCCCATCAATAAAACTGATACAGAAGATTAAATAATTACAGAATCTATCTAAATCTTCAATCTTCTTCCTAACCTTTTCACTGAGTATTAATACTCTTCCATGAATCTGTGAATATTGCTATTAAAGGCACTTTAAAAAATAAAATATTTAACATAACAATATTAGTGCACGCCAATGGAGCTAAGAAGAGTATTTATAATACCTACGTATAAAAATATAACCAATTAAATTTCATTTTACCAACTTATATGAAACATCTTTACAACATTAAATATAATGTGGCAATTGAAATTCTCAAGTTTCTTGAACCGTAGGTGAGTAGCAGAACCATGTCTAACGGTGGTACCTAAAAATGTTAACTATCGCTTAAGCAAAGTAAAAGGTAACTAACAAAAGAGTGAAAAATGACCTGGGTTTAGAGAATTACTTATTTTATGTGTTTAAGTTAGATACAAATAAACAAACCAAAATAGACTTTACCTTCTCGAAAGAGAGTTGCTGATTTTCTTCAAGAGAAAATTGCATTTATGATAATTTACATCCCATAATTGGAGACTAATATAAGTGGTAAGAGAAAAAGTTGTTGACATGACTCCTCTCATGTGGACCTATGCGCGCAGTAAATTAAGAAATTGACTACCTATTAAATTAGTAAGATGATTGTAATCTGAATTGACAAATTACATGTAACTCCACAAGTTCTCTAGGTAATTTATAGCAACGAAGGGGTATTTGTTAATTTAGTGAAATTGGAGAATTGACTATAGTTTTAGGGAAAACAGGAAAAAGAAAAGAAAAGAAAAAGAAGAGCAAAGAATGAAGAAAGAATATTCATATCTCCTCACTCGATTTCATGCTCTCGCTCTTCAATTCCTTCCGTTCCTCACTTTTAAGTTTCTGCATGATGGAATTCTAGACATTGTAGCCGCATGAGCGTAATTTGCCATTTCTTTTGGTAATATATCACTTTATTCATCCATCAGGAAACTTTCTCCGATCCATTACGCATAACATTACTAAATACTAATACTGCTAGGTGTTAACCATAAGAAATGCAATGGCACGGGAGAATCTTGTGAAGAAGTGTTATGTTGTCCAATCCCAAAAGTATGATTTTGATTTGCAGTAATTAATTTGAAGAAATAAAATAAAAGTACGTTGGATATTAAAATGCTTCCTTCAGTTAAATGTCAATCCTTCAACTTTTGATCAGATCCCATTGGCAGCCTTTGCTAGACGTGATCAGGCTTTGTCATCAACTTTCCATTACCGTTGAATTCTTCGTCGATATTTTCTTCTTCTTTTCTAACAATACAAACATATAATTTCTTAAATTTTTGGATTGTTGTGAAAAAATAAAATTGTGGAGGAACAACAGTTGGAGATATAAATCTAGTATTTGAAACTTCTCCGTAGGAACACATCCTTTTATATTGATGAGTAAGAGAACTTGATCGAAACAACACATCCTTTGGTATACTACTAAGCGTAGGGTTTTTAATAAGTAGGCAAATATGTAATTTAACTTTTAAGTTAGGAGCTTTCCAATTTTAATATAGTATAGATAGATATTGATAGATATAGATAAGTTTCAAAAGTTATATTTTTCTTCTTCAACTTCGTGCCAAGTCAAACGAGCTCATCTAAATTGAAACGGATGGACACTACTGAAAAATTGGTCTACGGTAATGCATGGAAAACCGTTCCAATATGTAGAAAAACCGTTGCCGTAGTGATATTGGAACGGTTTACAGACTGTCACATCCGCTTGCGTGCCAATAGAGCTATAGGAACGGTTCTTGGAACGGTTTTCATCTCCGTTGCTATAGAGACGTCTATCGCAACGGTTTTCCTTTATCTATTGGAACGATTATTTCTTCCAATTGGGACGGTTTAAAACCGTTACTATAATGTGTATGCAACGGCTCATAACCGTTGCCATATTATCTAATGCAACACTTTTGTGAGCTATTGTTACGGTTATTTATGGATATAACAACGATCTCGTTAAGCTATTGTAACAGTTGTTTTTGTATTGCTACGATTTTAACTACCTATTGGAATGGTTTAGAGGATATTTTGGAACGATTTACCAGATCTATTGGAATGGTTTACATTCTAATGGCGCCATTTGTGTCCTATTGCAACGGTTCTGGTAGGCTATTGTAACAGTTCATTTAAAACAGAAATATAGCTCCTGTTGTAAATAAATTTATATATATATATATATATATATATATATATATATATATATATATATATATATATATATATATATATATATATATATATATATATATATATATATATATATATATATATATATATATATATATATATATATATATATATATATATATAAAATTATAATAATACTAAAATTTAAATAAATCACAAAATGAAATTATTAATAATATAACTCGTCCAACAAGCTAATAATATCCATAAAAGCAAATGTTCTACCCCAAGTGCATAAGTTTAATACATTTCAAGATAGTTAGTTTCAAAATGTTGACAACAAAATATTCCTAGAACATTCATCTATAGCAATTCAAAATTCATCTTTAAGTAAGGTCTAGATCTTCATTGCCTTCATCTTCTATTTCTTGATCTACTCCACCTATAAAAGAGGATAAATAAAGTCATTACCTTTCATCTTGAATGCCTAGACTAAATAAATTGATCAAAAAAGAAAAAGAAAATAATGGGCATACAAGATGCTAGTCACGAGCCTAGCTCTTCTACAGAAACACATTATCTAGACCCAAATTTGGACATTAAATGTACATACAAGCTACTAAAAAGGAACAACATATCAAATTAATCCCGTTATAGGATTTAAAAGGAAAAGAAGTCAGTTTGCACAAATTTGGTTTTGTGACCACTAGCTAATTCCTGATTTCATATCACAACATATGCCAGAGTAAGGAAATTATATAGGAAGGAATAACAATTATAATAACTTTTTTCTGCAAATGAGTCGACCAAATAATAACCAACAGTGAATAATAAGTAGTGCAATCAACTTACCATACTAATTCAATACATTGACAATGTTAAAGTACCTGCAACATTTACTCTTCATACTGAACTTTTCTTTTGAAAAGGTAAGGTAGTGTTATAAATCCAGAACTAACAATGTGCTATTGTAGCTTTAAATAATTAACAGAGGCAGAAAAAGTAAAAGGATAAGCCCCAAAAAACCAATCTTGTAATAATTCTAACACCTGAAGAACAATTTCAACCTCATTTACATGTTCCATCCACACCAAAAGCAAGAATAGGATGTTAATGGAGTCCCCTCCACGGCCTTTGATAATTGGAAAAAGCACCAGATTTATCCTTTCCTATTGTAAACTCAATAAATATTGCAAAGTCTAATATTGCATAGTCCAAATATATTTTGACAAACTCATGATAAAGACCAAACAAGACACAAAGTTTAGACCTTTCAGATAAATAAAACAAATTACCTCTCTTCCTCAACTTTATTCTATAATCGTAAAATCCCTATATTTAACAAAAAATTGTAGCTATTTAGACATAAGTATCCTATACTAGCCCAAAAAAAAATCACTTCATAACTAGACCAAAAAATGCAAGTAACCTAACAGAAAGCTAGCAGTGGTTTTCTCGTAAAATGATGGGCAAAATGGATGAATTCTGGAGTACATTTTCAGTGCAACAATCTTTCACAACATCACAGGTAGTACATGGTCAAGAGTACACAACAATAAGCAAGTGGACACCATACGACTATAGGTACACAGGCAGCAGATTTGAACACACCACAACAGCTATCTCGATGCATCACAGAATAAAACAATAAGGGATAGACAAAGTACAGAGGGATATGATGCAGCATGCTTACACGCAATCATAATATGGAATAAATGCAAAAGTTCCAACAGGAAACAAAGAGATGAATGCCAGATACCAAAGGAAAGACAATCACCTATCCAGGGAAGATATGCTGAGAGGAAAATCAAAAACTCAGCCAACAATATGGTGCTGGAAACAATACTGTCCTCAAAAAACAAGATCCATCGACATAGGATGCAAGCTCAAACACTAGAGTTAAAACACACAAGTGTTGACAAGTACAAGAGAAAGGGTCAAAATGACGATCAGTAGCGTGCAAATAAGCAAAATTACTACATATGTAGTATCTCTGCCCCTCTGCCCGAGGTAAGATCTGCGTACATATTACCCTCCCCAGACCCCACTTGTGGGATTACACTGGGGTTGTTGTTGTTGTTGTACTACATATGTAGCATCATAGTGATTAAACATGCTATTCTATTTATATAAAAGGGGAAAATGGGTCTGAGGGATTAGAGTGAATTGGGGAAAACCGACAACGTAATGGGAGATAAGGGAAAAGTGAAAAGGGTTCAGATTTGGGGAAAATATGACTGGATCTACAGTAAAATGAAAAGGGAAAAATGAGTACGAGGGATTAGAGTAATTGGGGGAAAGCTTTATTGGAGATGAAGGAAAAGGGAAAAGGGTTCAGATTTGGAGAAAAATAACTAGAGCTAGGCCACATCTACTTTTATTTAGAAAATAAATAAAAATTGTGGATTTTAACTATATATTACATATTACATATTAAAATAAATAAAAAGGTAAAAAGGTTTAAAGAGAGAGTACTAGATTTGGCGGGCTACAAGAAAAAATTAAGGAGGGAACAATAACCGTTCCTATAAATATTTTTTTGGAAAAAACTGTTGCTACTGATAGATATATTGTAACAGTTATAGAAACCGTGGATATAAGAAAACGTACAGCAACGGTTATTATACAATGGAAACGGTTTGGTTGCTAAAGTGTACTAATAGTATCCAAAACCTTTGGTAACGGTTAAAACCGTTGCAATAGAAATCTGTGGCTACGGTTATGTAACCGTTGCTGAAACGTCCGTTGTCATAGGGTAATTAAGAGTGAGATTGAATAAATAAATTAATATTGATAAATCAAGAAACTAAAGTCAATATGAAATACAACCACAACTCTAGAACGTAAAGTTTAGTTCAACATAAAAATGAGAGTCAAATGACAATTCATCTAAAGAAACAAAAATTTCTAGAACTAATAAACTATACTCTCTCCGTTCCAATTTATGTGAACCTGTTTGACTGGCACGGAGTTTAAGAAAAAAATGAATATTTTTGGAATTTGTGGTCCTAAACAAGTCCAAATGGGGCTCAGATTATTTGTGCGGTTATAAAAGCTTCTCATTAAAGGTAAAGTTGTAACTTTAAGTTAAATTGTTACCAAATTTGGAAAGTGTTCATTCTTTTTGGAATGGACCAAAAAGAAAATAGGTTCACATAAACTGGAAAAGAGGATTACAATTTAGAAAAGAAAAAGAGAAAAAAACTGCTGCTGCTCAGTTCTGCTGATGCCTGCATATCTCCCCAAAGCTGCGTTCTCTTTTTTACTTATATAGGTATAAATTTTGCTGGTCTAAAATACCCTTATCCTAGTTCCTCACAACTTAATACATCCTCGCGTTAGTCACGCTTCGCGAGCTCAAACTTTTCGCTGCCAGAAACTATCGTCGAGTTCTCACTAAGCAGACAAATCTTTTCTGCCGGGGCTCATAAGTAGGGATGACAAATGGTGCGAGGCAAATCCGCACACACCCGCGAAGACTCCAACCCGCCCCGTCTCGCAAAACAAAATTTGTTGTTTTTAACCGCTCCGCCCCGCAAAAAGCCGCCCTGCCCATTTTACATAAGACAAAAATGTTTAACTGAAGAATAATAATATATTTAAGCCATAATGAAATGGTCCCAACTGAAAAGGACAAAAACAATTCTGCGAACTCCTTCAACACCTTCTAAGTTGTTTACTTTGTCAAACTAATATAAGATATAAAATATTAAAAATAAAAATCTTGACTCGCGACCTGCCCCGCCCCGCCCCGCATTAATTTTTTTAAAAAGAAATTAGAACCCGCCCTGCCCCCGCAAACACTGTAACCCACCCCGCCCCGTTGCCATCCCTACTCATAAGTTTATCAAATTCCATTTTTTCATGGGCAAATCTTTGCTACTATTTACTTGTGTCTCCAACCAATACTCCACCACAGGACGTTGTCTCTTTCCCTGATGGATCCAAAATTTTAAGAGGATGAGTGCACTATTACGAAGAGATGAATCCAAGATTTATATTGACCAGTTGAGACTTTAGCTTCTTACTATGAACCTATTACCACTTTAAAATTATAGGTCATAATTAATTTTTCGTTGAAATTTTAACGATTTTTAACATATATACTATACTCCGTATTGAAATATTGGGATCATTGAACTGTTGATATGCTACAACGTCCTCCCATGCTATTAGCTTTCATGAATATATTTAATTTAATTATACAAAATATTGATATGACAAGAGAAGATTAGAGATTTCAATGTGTTAGATTTGGGAAATTTGAATTAGTAAACCAAATTTAAAGAAAAAAAATACCTAACTACAACACAAGAGGGGAACACTATACATGCCCACAAACATGAGATTTAAGACCCTATGCTCAATTCTATGGAAAAGAAAAATAAGATAGGCATGAGACTAAAGCCCCATAACTTCACTTGTAAAGGTATATTCAATCGCAATATAGGATGCTTTTAGTTTGGGCGCACACATAAATTTATATAAAGTTTAAGATGTACTATCATTATTATACATAGTATTGGGAGAAGAGCATGGGTTCACGTGCTCCATGCTCCTCCAACTAGATACGACCATGCTGCCAGAGTGCTTGAATTTCAAGAATAACTCCATGTCACCTTTAAATGAATTTCACTTCTTCTGAAAAATCATATTATGTCACGACCCGAATGTTACGACCCAAAATTTCAACCCGTCGTGATGGCGCCTAACACACACTTATTAGGCAAGTCAACAATCGCATAATAGCTAGCATTTGAATAAACATTGTTTCAATATACTAAACAACATAAATATCATAATTCTCTAATAAAAACAATAACAAACTACTACAACAACCCCCAAAATCTGGTGTCAACGAGTGCATGAGCACTACCAAGTATCAACATAAACAAAAACTCTAGTACAACTGTCTGAGTAATAGAACAATACTAAAGAAAATAAAAGAAAAGAGAGTCAAGGTCTGCGGACATCATAGCAACTACCTTGAAGTCTCCAAGCAGGCAATAGCACGGACCTAGCAATCACCATGTCCAGATGTACACGAAGTGCAGAGTGTAGTATGAGTACAACCGACCCCATGTACTTAATAAATAACAGAACTAACCTTAGGCTTAAAGCAGTGACGAGCTCAGAAGGATACAATCAGAACCAATATAATGACAACACATGTATAATAATGACAATGACAATAAATAACTCTGTGAAATTTCTATAATCAGCTCATTCATGGTACAGAAATTTAGACATGCTTTCAAGTTCACAATTAAAGACCAACAGTGATAAGAACATGTCAAGTATAGCTAGCATGAGGAATGATACATCTCTATACCTACATGTCAAATATGTATGTCAAATGTATGATTTTACAGTGATATTCTTAGGTACTCACACTCTTAGAGTACTCGTTCCCTTTATTTCAAATTCTCACTCATCACACACACAATCACTTAATACTGTATGGATGTCTGGCATCAATGCCCCTCACCAAAGCACGTGTATATATCCCTGTGCCTGCGTTCACTGCTGGTATGTCAAACTCCAGAGGGGCGGATCCTGCCCAAGCGCTAATTAAAGCCTATAAGGCCTAGTGCGACGTGCAGCCCGATCCACATAATAATAGTAATAGTAAAGCCAATATAGCCAGCTACGACGTGCAGCCCGATCCACAATATCACTCACAACACGACTCTTAAGCTTACCTCTGTCCTTAATCTCTCAAGTCTCAAGGGCTCACAAATCTCGTACCACTCAGCCCAAACAATGATAACATGTGATGTAATAGTGAATGATAAACGAAGACTGAGATACGATATGCAAATATTGAACCATGTCCGAGTATATAATTGTAGTTAAAGAAGATAACTCAAAACAACAGAAATAATCCTATTAGGTCTCAACTGAATAAGGACATAGCCTAAACATGATTTCTAACATGAATCACAGCTCAATTACTCTAATAAGTAGAGATTTCACAGATAAAATAAGACTTGATATTAACATAGTACAAAAATCCATACGGATCATGATTACCATGGTGCACGCCCACATGCCCGTCACCTAGCATGTGCGTCACCCAAACACAACCCAAATAATATATTTTCCTAGGATATGTACCCTCAATTCCATGTTTAGAAGTGTTACTTACTTCAAAAAGCACAACTCAATACTCCAAAAAGCCCTTCTTGTGCATATCGGCATCCGAACGCCTCGAATCTAGTCACAAACAACTTAATATAATCAATACAAGCTTTAGGAATCGAGTCCATATGATAAAGCTAAGATTTTTAACCAAAATCAAAAAGTCAACCCTGGCGTCGTACCTCCAAATTCGACAAAATTCACAAATTCCGAACGTCCATTCTGTTACGAGTCCAACCATACCAAAATCATCTAATTCTGACCACGAATCGATCCTCAAATCCTCAAATTCACATTCCAATAAATAGTCCAAAAATCCCCAAATTTTACCTCAAACACACATAATGTAGGTGTAACAATCAATGGGTAAACAATATTTATCAATAAAAGTGATGAATCTTCATTTACCTCTTCAATTATTGTGAAAGATGCTCAAAAATTCGCCCTTAGCCGAACTCTACAACTCCAAAAATGAGATAAATACCAAACCATTTGACTTATAAAATATTCCAGTGAAATTGCACCTTATGATCACTATTTCCGTTTCTGCAGTACCGTTTCTGCGGTCCAAACCTCGCACATGCGAGATTCACTTAAGTCTCAGCGACGCGCACCTGCGGTACCCTTTCCGCATCTGCGGAGTCGCTTCTACGATGACAACTTCGCATCTGTGGACCACAGGCTCCCAACCGATTTTGTTTCTGCGAACGACAAGCTCATCTACCCTTCTCCAAATGCGGCTCCCCATCCGCATCTGCGACCACTGCCAAGCCTAGCTTCTATGCTTCTGCAATCACATCCACACACTTATGACCTCACAGGTGCGATAAATCCTTGCA